TTGGGAAAAGTTTTACCTGCCACAGAAGCCAGGTGTTCCTGCGACCGCACCTGACAGCACGTGGGGCTGCCCTGGGGGGTGGGAGTAGCTGGGCTGGTGCGGAGGACACCCCCCCCCCCAGTGTCGTGGGCAGGAGCGGCGCCCACAGCCACCACACCCCCTCGCCCATGCCGAGCCTGGCAGACCCTTGGGCCCCGCCTGGGAGGCCTGCGGTGGGGGGAAGGGCGCAGCGGGAGGGGGCGTCCCGGTAGGTGGAGGAGGACTAGATAAAGGCGGTCGCGACGCCGCGGTGCTGTCCCCACAGCGCGGGGAGTGGGAGGCGGAGCGGGCGCGTCTAGCGAGCGCCTCGCCAGCCTCCTCCCCACCCCCGGGGCTCTCCGACTTTGCGGGCTGCAGTAAGGAAGGACGCGCCGCGGCCCCCACCTTTGCGGGGTGAGTCTTTCCCGTGCGCGCCGCTGGTGACTGAGGGTGGTAAGCAGAGGCCAGAATCCCAAGGAATTTGGAAATGGCGCCTAGTGAGAAAGGAGGGTTCCTTCTGGGGCGGAACCGGCACACGAGTGGGGCCGGGAGCCGTGCGGAGCTGGAGGATGAGTGGCGGAATCGGAGTCAAGGACCCACAGGGCTGGGGGCTGGAGCTGCGGAGACGGTGGTCGGTCGCTGGGGAGACGACGAAAACCTGCAGTTTGAGACCTTAGTGTCTTCTGGGCCGCACCGGGCGCTGGACAGTTCTCGTTTGTGACAGCAGAGATCGCCAGAGGATCAGAAATGAACCTTGGTGGGGCCTACTGAAGTCAGGGTCTCTGCTGGGAGACACCTCCACTGATCCTGCCATGCCCTTCCCTCCCCAGCACGCAGACGCACGAACAGGCCTTTCTATGCCTTTCTATGCTTCTCGCGCCTTCTCCACTTTGGTGGCACTTGGGATAGAGGGAGGACGTGGCTTCCTGGGAAACCTCTGGTTCCCAGATTGGAGGGATAAGACACAGAGCCCCTGTCGCCCCCTCCCTGTGCTCTGGGCGGGAGGTCCCCGCGGGTGCGTGTCTGGCTTTCCGTGCTCTTAGCTCCGACTGAGAGCGTGCATTTCTCTCGCAAGGGTGACTACGTTGTCCATCAGCCTGCCTGGTCTAGCTTGAAGTGCTGAATGCTAACGGGTTAGGAGAGGCAGCTTGGTTCCCAAAGTCTGTGGTAATGATTCTGTCACGTGTTAAGGAGTAAATTCAGATAAGGAAGCGCTTTCAGCGCCTTGCTTCCCTGAGAAACCCGAATCTCCGGCATTGGAATCGCCTTTATCAAGGGAAGGTCGGGCTTGGCTGGAAGAACGTTCCTGAAGGCAATAGTGATGCTGCGTAATCTCATTGTACCATATTTAATCATTAGAGCTGTGCTAAGGAATAAAGCAAAGGGGTTCGCCCGCGGGGACGCGTCGTTTGGTTTCCCAATAAGCGATGATAATGGGTTAGCTGGAACAAGGCTCCTTTGGCCCGAGGGGGGCTTAAAGCTACGTTTTAAATTTTGTAGTCTGCCCGGAGCCACATTTCGTGTTCAATTTAACATCCATGAAAGTTAAACGGCTTTTCTCGCCTCTTAGTTTATTGGATGCATTTTCAAAGATCTCATTAAAGTGCATTTATCAAAGTCCTAACATATACCCTCGGGGTCTTATGCCCACACAATGAGGCCGATTAATACAAGAAATCCCAATTTCTATGACAATTTACATACTAGGGAGATACTCTCTCTTTGGTGGGGGCAGATAATTGGTAAAGTGTTGTATATTTTGCCTTGACAGAGAAAAAAAGGGGGGGCTGCCTCTCTTCGCTATCTTTCTTCTGCAACCACATTTACCTGCTTGGGGACCCCAGGCTGTAGGTCTCATGATTAGTTTTCATAGTTTTTTTCTGGTTGTCTGCCACTGTGTGTGCTGGGGGTGGGGGGTGGGGGGTCAGCTTTTCCTACAACAGTAATTGGAGCTCTGTCCCTGGGCTTAGAAAACTTACCTGGCCCACCTTGTTGACTTAGGGGACTCTTGTCTGGACGGCTCTCTTCATCTTTCCTTTCCTGCTGTTAAAGGGTTAATGCCATGATATGCGCTAAAGAAGAGACGGAAGGGGACTACTCACCTTAGCTAGAACCCAGAGTAGACTGTTCTCTTTCATCTCACCGTGGTGTTCTGGCCTATCTGCTTCACAACTAGTGGGGGGACAGGTTCTTCCCTGCTAGCGCTCTGGCCTCCCTACAGAGGTTCATCCACACGACACTCCGCTGACCCCCCCTCCCCCAACCCGCCGCCCCCAGCGGCACAGATACCAAGTGACCTCCATGGTTTCCTCGCCTCAGGGGCAAAGGTGGCAGCTAGCCAACTGAAGCTAGAAGTGACTTCCCGACAAGCACCCCCCACGTTTGCCCGGTTAGAAAAGGAGCTGAGTGGTACTCCCGGGCCACACTGCCAGGATTTCTTTCACGTGGGATAGCTGAGCTGACACCCCGACTTCCTCTAACCCCAACTCTCCCCCAAACCGCCCTGGGGCCTGTTTTGAACGATGTCGGGGTTTTTTTGTAAAAGATTATCTTTATCACTGTTCATAGGAATCAGAATGGGAGCCATTTTCCATGCCCATCTATTTCAAGTGCATACCAGTCTCTACCTCCAGCCTGAGATAAATAAACCTTCCTCCTCCGACAAAACCTTTGTATGGGCGCCGTTAATCCTCACTGGAGCAGGAAGGTGCGCCGCTTTGTTTCGGGAGTGGAAGAAGACAAACCGCTTGCACCTTGGCACTAACCAGACAATAAACTAATCCACTTGAAGGGTGTTATCTGCGATGGGATGTACAGGGCCTAAGAGCTCAGCCACATACTCCTCCAGCAAGGGAATTTCTGAAGAAGAAAAAGAAGAAGAAGAAGAAGAAGAAGAAGAAGAAGAAGAAGAAGAAGAAGAAGAAGAAGAAGAGAAATGAAGTCAAACAAATCAGTGTTTCCAAATAAAGGAAAAAGACCTTGTATTTTTAATGATTGAAAGTGCTTTTGTAGGTGGAGAGGATGAGGGGTGCCCTAGGACTGGGAAGCTTTGGGCTCCTCAAGGTCGCCTGCCCCCTTTAGATCCAAACACCAAAGATTCCCATCCCCACCCCCAACCCCCGCCCCTAGGACTTCATTTACCCTTACTTCCCTTGGAGAACTCACCTACCCAACAAGATTTCACCAGCTGAAAGGGAGAAATGTGAACTCAAAAGTCCCAGAAGGCCCTTTAAGCCCAGCTGAGATGGGGTCTGGGGAGGGCTCTAATAGAATGCCATGCAAGGATGGCTACCTCCCTCATTCATAGGTACAGGGACAACGAGGCTCCTGTGGAAGCTCCAAAGCCTCTCTTTGGACCTTGCTAAACTGCCTTTCTTCCTTGGTGTGTTTGCTGGAGTTTAGAACTCACCCCCCCCTCCCCAACAGGGGGCGTCAAGCCGCCGAGTGGAAGTGAGAAAGACCAGGAAAAGCAGGTCGCAGGTGGGCGGCCCCTTGCTCCAGAGCGCAGAAAAAGGCGCTCGTGTTTGAGCTACCTGGAAAGTAAACAGGTAAACACCGGCCGACTTAGAGGGCCACTTGTCCTGGAGTGGGGCCACTTAGCCTGTGTACATTCCCCTACCCTCCTGGGCCTCCAGTGATTGTTCAGCTCGGTGGCCGCTCTCTCTAGCTGTCTGAGCCGGCGCTTCCTTCTGTTCAGAAGCCGCCCCGGACCCCCCAGACCACCCTCCACCCCGACTCCACAAGCATCCCAAGGAAGATTCCCCTCTAGCTTCCTTAGAAAAGGCCCTTCCTCCGGTCTCCCGCTGGTAACTCACCGAGATCCTCTTCTAAGGGTTGGAAGAATGAAAGCCTGAAGATGAAGACCAGGGGCTCCTGAAGGAGGCCTCCAGCTGTCCGGTTGACCCCAAGAGGAGTATGCGCCGTCTCACCAAAGAGATGCCAAACAGGTCTTCCTCTAGCCCAGGGCACTCTGGAGAAAACTTCTGTGCCCACTTCAACTCCCTCCCTACGTTTGCAACAGCAGGGGGAAGAGACTCCTGGGCCGCCCTTCTACTGCAGCTGAGCCCAAACACAAGCCTGAGGGCACTTTCCTGGACTCAAGGCAAAGAGCCTGGAAAGAGTTTACTAAAGAATTCCTCGTGGGCAGGACTAGCGACTAGCGCAGGTCCTTGCAGAGTTGAGACTTCTGCCAGCACAAGCAGGCACTCATACGTCTTGAACTGGCAGGCTCAGGGTGGCCAGGACATTGTACCAGACTCTTTTGAAGGGGAAGGGGCACGCAGCTTTTTCCTCTCACCCTGCTGGATGTGTGGGATTTTGCCAGGTAGATGATCCAAAAGCCTAGCGATGACTCTCTGGGAGGCCTTTTGGGGTGTCCTTAGAAAACAGTCGCGTGTTTAATTTGGATAGAAGAGGTGCCTTTGCTTCTGACCCATCCGTTCTTTTGACCCCAAGCCCAGCCGGCACAGTCTAGAAGCTGATGGAGCTTGATCTAGGCGGGAGAACTGTCTCTGGCCTCCAGCTGCGCCGGTATGGGCCTCCCCAATAGTCCGCTAGCTATTCCTGGGGGACTTGTATTTTATGATCTTCTTCTAACAAGCCCAGTTTCTCCCCTTCAATTACGAGCATCCCAGCGGGCTTCCTTTGCCTTTTCAATTGCAAATGTTAGCGCTTTGGAAGCAGACGAGGAAACCCCAGGGCCAGGAAGGGGTGAGAAACAGTACTCCCAGGGTCCCCTAGGAGAAGACAGTAGTGCAGGTCTTGCTGTAGTAAGTCACAGCTAAAGGCAAGGGCTGAGCTTCTCTGGCCTTCCTGGTCTAGCTGTCAGGTGCCCTCAGACCTGCAAAAACCGGTTCAAAGGGTGAGAGTGGAGCTGGGGGAAAGCCAGGTGGCTGCCTGAGTGGGCAGGGGGAGGATAAGCCCTCAGGTACTCCAGAAAAGGCTGAGCTGCCTTGTGATTCCCTTTAGTTGAGACCCAAGAGCAGGTCTTGGTGAACCTACTGGCAGCCACGGCCTTTGGGAATTTGAGCTGCCTCAGTGAACTGGGGCTGAGGGGTGTCTGTCTCAAAGCGCCCAGGCCAACACTCCCTCCCCACCATCAATTCCCAGGATTTCCTTAGAAAAACAAATAGTTCTCTGGTGCACTTTGCAGGGAAGGGGGCATAGTCAATAGCCACTGATTGCTTCCCAGAAAAAAGGCCCACTATGCCTAGTGAAAGGGAGAGCAAAGTTGGGAACTATAGAGAACTATGTAGTTCTAAGCCAAGGGAATGGGCAGGCTCCAGGTGACTCCCAGGAGAACATCCACGCCAAAGACTTAAAGGTGGCTCTGAGATTGGCAACCATAAAGGATTCCTTTTCTACCCAGTCCGAGAATTGGCCTGGTCCATCCAAGCTGTGCTCTTGCCCCACATCCCACTCCTGCAGAGGCTCCCTGGTCTCCAAGGAAGTCCCCTCCTCTAAGACAGACAAGGAAGAGCAGGAACAAAGGGAGAGGGCTTTTTTCCTGCAATGCTTGAGCTGAGAAACTATTTCTCCCGATATTTGGTTAGCCACTGAGTAACAAGAGTGTAGCAAGCCCACCCTGGCCCTGGATCCAAATTGGGTTCTTCCCCACTTCTGGAAAGCTGACTTTTCTCCTCCCACGCAGCCAGGCAGTGAGCCCCAGTCTGAAGGGAGGGAGGGAGGGAGAGGCAACAGGCAGGAAAACTGAGAAAGACGCTGGAAAAAGGAGAAGAGGGGGCGGGGAAAAGACACAGAGAGTTGTAAGTTTGAGGAACACGTTTCAAACCAGATACTAATTCTTGCCAAGGAAAAAAAGAGGAAGAAAGAAGAAAAGAAAAACTAGGAGAAAGAGGAATGGGGACCGTCGACATGAAGGGGTTTCCTTAATATTGTGGACGGATTCAGAAATGAATGAAGAGATAGGTCCATTGAAAAGGGTTGAATGCCATGACAACTAGGGACAACCTTAGATTTATTCCAAACAGTTAGGACACATTGAAAGAGAGCGTCAATCATGTATTATTTCGCCACTGAAATAAATGCAAAAACCGGGCCTGGACAAAGGCTTCCAACGGGAGCGGGACATTTGTCTACATTTCGCTCATTGTCCGCAGCTTAGCAATCGGTTTGTATTTGTGTTTGCCCGGGTCCGACCACCCAGGACGCGCCGACGTGGGGCTCGCTCCAACCTGGGCCATTGTCACCCACGTCACATACTGGGGGCGAGGCAGCAAGAGCTGCAGAAAGCCGCTGAGCAGCTCGGAGAGAAGCGCTGTCACAGGGCTCTGGAAACCGGGGGGTGATAGGGGGGCCGCCGTGGCCCAAGCAGCTGTGCGCTAGGAGGATTCAGCTCTGGAGCACTCCGCTTCCCCTGGGCTAAGGCATTCCAAGCAGGGACAGTTGGGGGGAAAAGGCCCAAGCAGGGACAATTGGAAAGAAAAGGCCCAAGCCTGATCTTCTCTGCCCCCCACACACACACCTTGAGGCTAAGTCCACTCCTGACGCTAGGTGAGGTGTACAAACAGTAGGTAGCAAACTTCCTTCCCAGCCTCACATCTCCTAAACTTAAATTGGATGAAGGGTGTGTGAGATACAGCATTTTCCTTCCCGAGTCAGGGAAGTTCGGTTCCCAGGTTTGAAAGAGGTTGTTGGAAAGTTCACACTAACCGAATGCTAGCTGGGAGCCGGAGTGTGCTCTCCCAGCACGCTCTCCGAGGAAAGCAAAAACGGGAGAAACTAAAGGATTTGCAAGGCAGAAGGAAACTCAAGAGAAAACGCAGCAGCAACCACTAGTCCTCCAACCTCCTCTCGGTGGCTTTCTGGGTCCTCACCCGGATCGGACACACACACACACACACACACACACACACACACACACACACACACACTTCGGCCTCTCCACCTTTAGCTGAAGGCTGGAGTAGTAGCTGGGCCAGAGAGGCCAGGATTATAAAAGGTAGGAAGGGACCGAGGCTCTCAGCTCTCCCTTCCACACGGTGGAATAAGCCCGGAAATAAGCCCAGGCCAACGGCTCTGGGGCGCAGGTCCGAACCCGGCCCCACAGACCGAGAGGCAGGTTCCCGCCCCTCCCTTCCCTGGACTGCCCGCAGAGCAGACTGTGAACCTCGAGTCCTCCTCTACTGCAAGGAAATTGGGGGCGGGGAGGGGGGGCGATAAATGAGTCTTTAGCAAATAAAGGGCCTTCGGAGGGGGGTGGGTTCTCTAGTGGTAGCTCTGGCAGGTCCAAGCCTTTTCCTCTCCTGGGTTTCCAGCTCTTTCGCGGTTAACTAGAATCAATTACTTGACTTGTCATTTCTAGTACTCATCCTTAAGCTTCAACCAAAATATTGACCTAGGAGGCTTACAGAAGTTGGGCTCTTGCCATTTGAACCGGATCTTGTTTAGGGAACCACCAGCGATGGGAAGGAGAGATTTCAGCGGCTCAGCCGTCACCCCTCCCCCTTTTCCAAAGGCGCCACAAATCGCCAATTTTCTGGCTAGCTGGTGTGTGGGGGGGGGGGGGGGGTGCGCGCGGGTCGTGGGGAGGTAGGAACCGGTGAATGTTAAAGAGGATTCTTTTTTCCCTCCTCCTGTTCCTTTCTGTTTTGTTTTCTTTCTCACCCCAGCGTCCTCGTCGTCGTCGTCGTCCCCCCCCCCCCCCCCCCCCCCGCCTTAAGATGCAATTTGTTAAAACGGCCCTTTCAAGTGTGTGGACTCGCGAGCGACGTGGTGGCCCTTTGTATGTAAATACTGAGAGAGGAAAAAAGCTCTCCCCATCTTTGCAATTAATTGACACGTTACACCTCTCATCTTGCTCTAGAGGGCCGTTGGCTGGGAGCGCAGAGCTCCCCAAAACCCACAATTTCACATCTGCAAATACTGTCTTCATCCACTTGACTCCCAAGACCCGCCCACACGTGGCCAACCTTTGCGTTTTTAATGTCTCTTCCCCCTTTTTTTTTTTCACCCCTCTCTCGCTCCCTCGATCCCCCTCCTTCCCTTCCTCCCTCCCTCTTTCTCCCCCTCCCCCCTCCCCAGGTTCGTGAGTGGAGCCCAGCCTTATATGGACTGATCGCTCGGGCAATGGCCCATTTTTTCCTCGCCACCAGCCGCCACCGCGCGCGGAGCGGCCGCCGGAGCCCGAGCTGACGGCACCTTGGCACCTCTCCTGGAGTTACAAACTGAGGCCGCGCGACGCTGGGCGCGCAGGCCGCCAGTCACTGCGTACATTTCCGCGTGCTTTCTGAGAAGAGAGAGGCGCCGGGTGGACTTTATTATTTTTCCCTCTTCCCTTTTCCCACAGTGTCCTCCTCTCATTTTAAATAATTATTATCCCAATAATTAAAACCCATCCCCCCATCCCTCCCCCATTCCTTCCCTTAACCCCCCCTCCCCCGCCCGCCCGGGCTGGGGAGTACCAAGAATTGACCAAGTGAAGCTACAACTTTGCGGCATAAATTGCGGGGTCCGGAACCATGTCGCTGACCAACACAAAGACGGGGTTTTCAGTCAAGGACATCTTGGACCTTCCGGACACCAACGATGAGGAAGGCTCTGTGGCCGAAGGGCCGGAGGAGGAAAGCGAAGGGCCGGAGCCCGCCAAGAGGGCCGGGCCGCTGGGGCAGGGCGCCCTGGACGCGGTGCAGAGCCTGCCCCTTAAGAGCCCTTTCTACGACAGCAACGACAACCCCTACACTCGCTGGCTGGCCAGCACCGAGGGCCTCCAGTACTCCCGTAAGTAGCGAAACTTGGCCGCAAGGGCTGTGGATGCCTCCATGGCTGAGGCAGTAGCCTGGGTGGACGCTGGGAGTGGAGGGGAAGGAGCCATTTACGGTCCAAGTCACCACCCCGGATCCCTAGATTTTGAAACGTTTACCTCCTCGCTAGACATCCCTCTCCCCAGTCCCTGCAGAATACTTGATGTCATATTTTTTTTTCCACCTGAGGAATTAAAAGCAGAGAACAGAGATGCTTCCTAAAGGCTGGTTAGAGATGTCAACCGGACTGATGGCTCTGGCCGGAGTCCCCTGGACTCCGATGGCCCAGAGGATTTGGCTCCGCTCCCTAGAGCTAGCCAGCGGTCAGGGTCCGGCTAGCGATGGAGGATGGAGGAGGCTTCGGGTTTAAGTAGCTCATCCTGCCGCTGCATGATTGTAAAGAAACTGTGTGGTGCGCGAGGCGGCGAGTGTGTGTGTGTGTGTGTGTGTGTGTGTGTGTGTGTGTGTGTGTGTGTGTCCAGAAAGCCGGAAACCAAAAGCGAAAGCCCCCCAAATCTGCTTTACCCCGCCAAGACCATCAATGCTGGGATTGTGAGGTTTTCCTCTTAAAAATCTGCCCACGTCTCTCCAGAGAGGAAACGGTTTAAGGGGGCCGGAGCCCTTAACCCTCAATGATCGCCCACACTCTACCCCGCGCTAAATTCTCCTCATAGTGTGTGAACCCCTAGAAACTTGAACCTCAGAGCCCCCACTGCGCAGACTCTCCTCTGAACCCTAGCGGCCCCCGACGGCTTCCTCGGGCGCGGAGCCGGGCGGAGATTACCGCAAAGGCAGTGGGTCTGGGCTGTCCAGGGCCACAGGCCCACGGAAGATCCCTGGGGCTCCGGGTGGCCCAGGTGGCACTTGGCCTCCAGGCGCCTGATGCGCTTCTCTCCCCCTCCCACCCCACCCAGTGCACGGGCTGGCGGCCAGCGCTCCCCCCCAAGACTCCAGCTCCAAGTCCCCAGAGCCCTCGGCTGACGAGTCACCGGACAATGACAAGGAGACCCCGGGCGGCGGGGGGGACGCAGGCAAGAAGCGGAAGCGCCGAGTTCTGTTCTCCAAAGCGCAGACCTACGAGCTGGAGCGGCGCTTCCGGCAACAGCGGTACCTGTCGGCGCCGGAGCGCGAGCACCTGGCCAGCCTCATCCGCCTCACGCCCACGCAGGTCAAGATCTGGTTCCAGAACCATCGCTACAAGATGAAGCGTGCCCGGGCCGAGAAAGGTATGGAGGTGACACCCTTGCCCTCGCCGCGCCGTGTGGCCGTGCCGGTCTTGGTCAGGGACGGCAAACCGTGCCACGCGCTCAAAGCCCAGGACCTGGCAGCTGCCACCTTCCAGGCAGGCATCCCCTTTTCCGCCTACAGCGCGCAGTCGCTGCAGCACATGCAGTACAACGCCCAGTACAGCTCGGCCAGCACCCCCCAGTACCCGACAGCTCACCCCCTGGTCCAGGCCCAGCAGTGGACTTGGTGAGCGCCGCCCCTCCAGGACTCGAGGCCGGAGGCCCTGGCCCCACCCCAGCGGCGGCAGTGGCGAGGAGGACTCGATCCTTACCACGGTTGTTGTTGTTGGTATTATTATTATAATAATTATTATTATAGAGTCGAGCCGACCTAGGCTCAGTTGAGGAGGCACCGGGAGGTTGCCTGTGCCTCCTCAGAGTGGCAGATTCCATCTACTGACTCTGCCCGATCCCTCTCTCCGTGGAACCTTTGGAGAGGACAGAACTCTTAAGTCGTGTTTACAGAATGTTTGCGCAGCTTCGCTTCTTTGCCTCTCCCCGAGGGGACCCAACTATCCCAACGTTAACGTCGTCGTCACTTGAAAAGAGAAAGGACCAGCCCCCATCCCCCCCGCACTGCTTTCGTGAATTTTGTAAAATATGTTTGTGTGAGTAGCGATATTGTCAGCCTTCTTAAGCAAGTGGAGAACACTTTAAAATATAGAGGATTTCTTTTTTTATATAAGAAAATGCTAAATATTTATGGCCATGTATACGTTCCCACAACTGGTGGCAGATTTCGCTCTTCGTTGTAAATATCGCTGGTGATCATCGTTGCCAAATGACCTTCTGGATGGGCCTGTGTCCTCACCAGGCCTAACGCTCTCTTTGTCGTTTGTTCTGGATGGGTTATGTTTGAGTTGCCTCCGTTTTTTTTTTTTAATTTTCTTTTTGTTTTTAATTTGTTCAATGCAAACATTTTTTCAACTATGAGAAAAGGAAAACATGTGTAGGCGAGACACCCCCGGCCCCATTTTCCGGATCCTGAGCCCCGGAGCTTGGAACTCAGAAGTTTCGCGTGGTTCCCTAAGAGCGCCGGGCGCTGAAAGCTTTCAATTTTTTTAAATAAGAATTTTAATAAAAATCCTGTGTTTAAAAAAAAAAAAAAAAGCAAGCCCAGTTCTCCGGTTTGTTTGACTGTGTCTCCCTGCCGGTGGAGGGAGGGGAGGGGAGCATTAAGCTTGGAGTCTGGGCGGGTTGTATTCCGGGCTGGTACTGGTGTTTCTTCTTCCAGCCCAGGGGCCCCAGGTACCCAGCCGGTGGAGCAGCGCCCGGGATAGGCCTCTTCCGGACAGACCGGACAGTCAGTACAGGAACAGCTTGGCCTTCAGCCTGCTAGCCGGTGGTCCAAAGTCCTTGTTGGCCCTGGCGCTCGAGGGCTTCTCTGCGCTCTCTGAATCCCCAACAGGGGGAGGAAAAGTGACTTTGGGTAACGCCAAACAAGGAGAACAAGCCCCCCTCACTCGCCCAAATCTACGAGTGGCTCCTTCAGCCTGAAAAGCTGTTGAAGCCACTACACTTCACGGATGGCTTTCACTTCGCTGCGTTTGATTTACCCCTTGCTAAGGGGGGGGGGGGCATCTGAGGTTGAGTCTGACGGCTTTCTCTTTACTTTGCACTTCTTTTTCAATGTCTGTGTACCAAGTTGAGGCCTAGCTGACCTCTTCAAGGCCCGGGCGCCGGGGGAGAGGGTTGGGAGAGCTAAGATTGGGCATTTTGAGGCTCACAACCAGGTGTTCCTGGTCCCTCCTCCAAATTCTTTGGCCCTGGGAGCCAGGGAAGAGAGCCACTGGCGACGCTAGGCAACCCAGCCTTCTCACTACTGATGCTCCATCTTTTACGTCCTTCTGTCCTTCTCGTCTGGGACAGGATCCCCTGGAGCTGGGTCTCACCGCGCGTAGTTCCTGGTTTCTTGGTCGTGGCTCTGGGTGAATGGTTAGAAAGTAGAGGTTGAAGTAGGGAGGAACTCTCACCGTCAGGGTTCCGGTAGGTTGCATCTAGTTGCTTAGTGCTGGAGCACACACGGTCCTGAGAGCCAGGCAGAGCACACACCCTTCTGCTCTGTCTCACTCGCGGCCGGCTGCGTGAGTCAGAACCCAGCAATTGCTGAGATGCGCGAGATTGGAAGTCAGTCTATTTGGATATAGTGTCTTTGGTCCTCCGGAGCTCCAGCATTGAGACTGGGGCTAAGGAGGAGGTGAGCAAAAGGAGACATCCCAGTTGATTTTTTTTTTCTCTCTCTCTCTCTCCCTCCAGTTGGTGATCAGATTTAATTCAATATCTAAAGCAAACATGATTATCCTTGTGACCAAATCTGCACTACACACCCAGGGACGTGATTACACTTTATTCTGCCTTGTGCACACACACCCGTCACTGAGGGCGCCAGAGTCTTTCTAATACCCCACTACAGGTCCTTTCCTATCTCCGGTTCAACTCTGGGAAGGGGACAGTTTTCCTAAATGCTGAAAAGTCTCCCTTTGTTCTATGCACAAGCTTGGAAACTGTGGGGTTTTGTTTTGCTGTTTGTAAAAGCCAGAGAATTCACTGCCTATGCTTTGCTGTGCGATATGAAAGGCAGATGCCCAACCTGCCCTAGAATCAACCACTCACTAGCCCAAGTGCAACTTCTCTTAAGCCCCAGGCCTGCGGGGTTGTCGGGAGGTCTAATGGGCAGCCCTGGAGGGATAAGTGTTGAGTGTTTCAGGCCCAGGCTTTCTGCTACAAACAATCCCAAGAGCCTCCCCGACCTTCAGGGGAGTGCAAAGGCCCAAACTCTTGCAGGTTTCCACTGCCTGGCAGGTTAAGGCCCACAGGCCTGCGCTCTCAGTGTGTGTCCCGGGAGGTGGGTCTTGTGCCCGCCCCTCTCTGTCCTCGGGTCCCTAAGGAGTCAATAAAAGCGCCCGTGGAGCCCTGTGTGGCCCTAACCCTAGCGCCCTGGGAGCGCACCCCGCGCGGGGTCCGCTTCGGCAGTCTATCTTCGCCCAATCTACAGAGGGCCGCACAAAACCGCACAATGGGAAAGCTGGGAGCTGGAGCTGTTAGAGGCGTGCATATTAAAAGGGGACAGAGAAAGGATCGCAGAGGACAGAGAGGGGAAGAGAGAGAAGCCCCCCCCCAGCCCCCCACCCGCACCATTCAGCGCGCTTATCGCGGGCAGTGAATCCCGGAGTCAGGCAGAAGTCTCCTTGGGGTTTTGTTGGGCCTGTCACTGGGTCCCTTTGTCATCCGCGGACTCCATGCTGGATTCCATATGGCCAGCTGGGCCGAGGGAGCGCGAGGAGGGACCCGCACAAAACCCAAATTGTGTCCGGCTTTCAAACCCTGTATTGTTGTCTGTGAAAGGAAGACGCATTAAAAATTCGTGCTATATCTATTGGGGAGGAGGATGGAGGAGGGGAAAAAAGCCACCCTGTCTTTGATGGCTTCAGAGGGCGCTTGCCCCGCCTAGGCCCCTGTGACACACAGAGTCTCAGTCTCTCTCTCTCTCTCTCTCTCTCTCTCTCTCTCTCTCTCTCTCTCTCTCTC